CGATTGAAAAATTCTAGGATTAACTTTTTCAACGCGTCTTATGTTTCTTATGATCGAAAATTACAAATAGCAAATCGAATTTCTTTTGAAAATTTTCTACGATTGAAAAATACTAGGATTAACTTTTTCAACGCGTCTTATGTTTTTTATATGTTTAAAAATATAATATATATATAGAAGATGACTTCATCGAAAATTAGAAATAGCAAATCGTTCTTCGTTCTTCGGGATTGAACCTAGTTTTTAATTGTATATTGCTTGACGTTTCAATTAAAGTTTTCATTCTGCCTGCGCGCATTTAAAAGGATTTCACGGTGCGCACGTTTATAGGCGGCACAGATTAATGTCGACAATTTTACGAACTCCGGCTTTATGGATCGCCGGTCTGTAAAAATTTAAGCTCAACGGATAAAATTCCAACCGAGCGGTTTTTACTCGATCGATTTTTATCGATGCCTCGAAACGAGCATACGCGCGGGCATATATAGAAATAACAGGACGCCAATTTTTATTCAGCCTTATCTTATCTTATCTGTTTTTAAACTTGCCAACTAATACTTAACGCTCGAACGATTTCCATTAATGGATCTATTAAATGTATTTAATCCTAATTCATTTCCACAAATTCCACGCGATCTAATCTCACTTTTCACGTAATTATATTTATATAATTTATATGAAGAATCAATCCAATTTAATTTCGATCCCTTTCCTTCGAGGATTTTCCAATTCTTTCCAATTTTCCAATTTTCGTAATTTCGAAACTTCGCAACGATTCTTCCTGAACTTTCAACGCTCTTGGAAATTACGTCTGATCACAATTATAGCGTGACAATAGTTTGTTGAGAAAACTCGAGGATACTATCCTATATAAGAACGAAGATTGGTTACGTTGGATCTTAAATGGAACTTTGTGTCCAGGCAAGGATGAGATATACTCTATTTTCTTCCAGTTTTGTGCTTTTAGAAAAATTTTTAGAAAACGATACCGCTTTTTATTATGATTTATCGTTTCATTAAAAATGCGTGTAAAACGTAAAAAGAAAATTAATATTGCATTTAATTAATATGGAATAAAAAAGAAAGTACACAATAATCGATGAAAAATATATAAATATTTGTGATTCGAAGCCTTAATCGCGCAAAATAATTGCGTGATGTAGAAAAAAGTTGTAATAAGTAATTAACTTAGAAAGCGCTTCGAATTTGACGAACATATAATACACTGGAACTTGAGAAAATTGGTATTTTAAAAAAAGGATATCCTCGACAATCTCATTTTATAAATTGAAAATTATAAAATGAAAAAAACATTGTAAGAAGACATACAGCATATTAGGAATATTATTATTGCTTATTTCTTCAAAATATAATAAATAGATAAAAATACATATATATTATAATATAAAATATTTATAAATATCAATAACTGGATTATTTTTAATATAGTTTTGCAAAGTTTTGCGAATCAAATATGGCAACAAAAAAAAGTAGAAAGTTTCTACTTTCGTACATTCGACTCTTATTACATGGAATATATAAAAAATCATTGACAAATTATTGCATCGTGTAAATTTCTAATACGAAGTAATTACTTAATTTTAATTTACAAAAAAAAAAAATTATCGATAATTTATAACGATTGAAATTAAAATAGATGTATCGAGATGTTATAAAATCGAAATTTAAACGATAAATTTACGGATTCGTCTGGTGGAATACGAAGCCGCGAGCGCACGTGAAAGTAAGCTACAGGATGTTCCATGGACTGGAACACTTTCGTGTCCAGATAGAATCAAATAAACGGTTGAAATTTGAGAAAATATCGAAAGGACGATTTTAACGACGAAAGTTCGAAATCTTTAATCTTTTCGAAACGATCGATTTACGTAGAGACGTTAATAGTTGCGTCTGTAGTTTGTGTTTGTGCGCGTGCACGTTCGTGTCGGCCGGCGGGCAGCGATGCTGAACCAAGGGAAAATGCAATTTTGTCGATAAAACGCGAGTGAAAGAGAGGGTGAAATGAGAGGACGGAGAGGAGGGGGAAGGGAAGGCAGGTAGAGAGGGATGCATCTCTCTGGAGCGCAATTTCTGGGCTCATCGTCCGCTGCTTTACAATAATAGACCCTCTTCACCCTTGCGTTATACGTAAGCGTGCTACACTTTTTCTTCTTCCCTCTATCCATGGTTTACGAACCGCGTGACAACTGCGCCTTATCCTCATTCCTGTATGCTATATCAATTTCGTTGGGTAAATAAAAAAGAAGAAAAAGAAGAACGAAAATAACTTTTTCACTCTTTTACCACGAGATAGATAAAATTGCTCGTGAAAACGAAATAATTGAATAACGAAAATCGAGAATTCAATGGACAATAATTTTTCATATTAATTGTAAGTTGTTATTTATACCGCGAGAATATTTTCTCTATTCCTAAAGACCGAAGCGCAAAAGTATCTTAAACCAAACAAAGGAAAAAGCTGACTTTCGAAACTCGACACCGGTATACGTGTGTATATATGTGTATGTGTGTTTTATCTTTATAGTCTTTTTTCAGTTCGGTTTCGAGAGGCAATGTACGTTATGTACGTACATCGCCATGGCAACGATCGCAGGCGTGATCAGTGAATGAAATGGGGCCGAAATGATTTGCGGTCGGTGGCTCGATCATGGTTTATCGATGATGACGAGTCTTCCCCCTCCTCCTCCTCCTTCTACCCGAGAGTTTTAGCCGGGGGATGTTCCGGCGAAAGGGGTGTGGCAGCCCGTTATTTCGAGGGTTGGCGCTGACGATAAGGACTGACCCAGATTCCCCTCGATATTTCTACGCCAGGATGTTTAAGCAACTGACACTGTCGCGTCGCGTCCCCCCTCTCTTGTCGAACTTATCGAAGACGCTCGGGCGGAGAAGAGGCCGATTTGCTTGAAAT